GCCAGGCTCCCCTGTCTCCTGGAATTTGCCAAAATTCATGCCTACTGCATCAATGATACTATTTAACCATCTCATCCTCTGCCATCCCCTTCTGCTTTTGCCTTCATCTTTCCCAACATCAGGGTTTTTTCCAAGAAGTCCTGTCTTATTACATGGTCAAAGTATTTGAGCTTCAACAATTTTCCTTCCGAAGAATAGTCAGGGTTGATTTCCTTCAGGATTGACTGATTTGATCTCCTTGCAAGGGACTCTTAAAGAGTCTTCTCCATCACCAAGAAAGCAGACCTGCCTATAAATGAAGCAACAAAGAGAGAGAAAACACATCATGTGAATTACCTTCTGAAAATTAGGATCTTCTTAAGTGAACTACGTAGCTTAGTCTCACTAATGACAGAATAATCAAGAGCTGAGGATTGAATTGTGATATTGATGTCAATTGCATTGACGTCTCCTTGTTTTGGATCACGTGCATTTGCAGTTCTCTGAAGTGAACCCATCTCTCCCCCCCCCCTTTGACTTTGTTGGAAGCTGTCTGGGAACGTTGCAAATGATCACATGACCTCAGGATGCTGCAACTATCCTAAATAATGCTGGTTGCCAAGTGCCCAAATTTTGATGATGTGACCATGGGGATGCTACCAAGGTGAATCCAACATAACTCACATCCATGGAGATTCTCAGTCATCCAGCTCATGGTTGTTCCCAAAGGTATTTTTTTCAAAAGGTTTTTCCTTGAAGATATTCCATGTATATGTATACATTTGAACTAGATTGTGATGTTTCTGTGTCATATGTGTGGGTGTATGCATAATGGTATTTTTTTTTAGCTGAATGCAATGAAATTTCATTTTAATGTATGCTGATTAGTGTACATTTAAAGTAACAATGAAGGTTTTGTTTTGTTCTATTCCATATTTTCTATTCTATTCTCATCCAGGAAGCTTCTTCAGTTCTCAGTTGTAACTTTGGTCACTAAAAATGAATGGAAGTTGAGGACTACCTACATTAAACTTTTCAGATATGTTACGGTACCTCAAAGTGCGATGAGGAAGCGTAAAAACTAATAAAGACACCCCCCCAAAAAAATCCCTCAGGGTGAAGATGGCAAAGTTGCGACGAGCAGCAAAGTGGCTGAGGAGACCCGGCGATTTTCTTTTCCCGCTCAAACCCGATGGGTGTTTCTCTCCCGCCATTGACTCACCAGGCTCATGTGACCCGGCAGACACTCTCTCCCCTCCCCTCCCCTCCCTGAGGGTTTCCTCCTACCGGTGGCCGAGGAGGGAGGGGCAGCTCCGCTCTCCAATGCAGGGTGGCTGTGCATGCGTGCTTCCCAATGGAGGTCGCCGAACAGGTGGCATCTGTTAGAGACTCCACGCACGCGCTCCGCCCAGTCCTCTGCAGGCGCCTGGCAGGGAGGGCGCCAGGCACATGCAGAGTCGTCTCGTGGGGAACCGGGGTGAGGGGGACGCGCGAAGGGCTCAGCTAGGGATAGGCATGACGGTGCGGGGGGGGGGAAGAGTCCAGGCTTCCTTTGCATGCACGTGCCAGGCGATGAGGGAACGAAGACCGCCCCCCAAACATGGCTGGGAGGGGAAAACTCCAGGCTTGCTGCCCATTTACTACTATAGAGTGTGGAAAAAACTTGGAACAGGAGTCACCTGACCTACCATAAAAGGATTCATACCGGAATAAAACCCTATAAATGCCTAGAATGTGGAAAAAACTTCACTAACAGCAGTTCCCTTCTCATAAAAGTATCCATACAGATGAAAAACCATAGTTCTCTTACTTGTCATAATTTACACATGAGAAAAACCGTATAAATTAGGGGCCCCCAATTCGAAGGCCATGGACTGGTAAAGGTCCATAGCCTGTTAGGAACTAAGCCACACTGCTGGAGATGAGTGGCAGGCAAGCGAAACTGGGATCTAGGTTGTGTGCTTGTCCTCCCCCTCCCTGGTCCATGGAAAAAGTGTCTTCCACCAAACTGGTCCACCAAACTGGTGCCAAAAAGATTGGGGACCACTGCTAGAAATGCCTGGATTGTTGAATGAACTTCTTAGTACTGCAGAAAAAAACAATTGCAACCAGGCTACCTTCTATAGAAGATCTGTATATTACTCATGTCATAAGGAGACCTAAGAAAATATCTAGACTCCTCACATCCTGGACATAAAGTTTCAATTCCTTTCACTTGCAGTCTTGATATTCTGGGAAACCAGCAGAGAAGATTTCAAAGGAGTATCACCTTAGCAACGAGTCCTAGTTACAAATAGGTTGCTGAGTGTTTAATGATGTGATGGGGCAGCATAAATTACAATGGCTGGAGCACTGGTTCTGAGGCCATTGTAACTACAAAACATCATTAAAGGAACAGTTGTAAGTTGAGAACCCCCGTATCTTTTTAACTATAAGAGTAAGGGAATCCATATATTTTGTCTTGTCAAATTCCATTTGGTGGATCTATCCTTTCAAAGAACATTGCCATCTGAAAATTTTAGTTTTTCTTCCAGAATCACATTTACGTAACCCACTATGTCCCAAAGATCCCTTTCCACGAGGCAACTGAACTTTTTCTTGTTTTTCCTTTGAAGACGTTTCACTTCTGATCAAAGTTTCTCTCAGAAACAGCTTCTTGGACGAGAAGCAAAATGTCTTCAAAGAAAAAACAAGGAAGTCCACTTGCTTCATGAAAAAGCATCTTTGGGACTATGACCATAGATGTAACCTACTACTTTCTCGCAAAACATGTGTTATAGAACATTACACTTGTATTTTTATATTTATTATTCCACTATTAAATCTCCAATAAAAAGGCTGTCTTGCAGAGGCCTTTCCTATAGAAATGTAATACAGTTCAATATACTCCATTATTTTCCATAACTGCTTCCCCTTTTTTTCTTGCTATCGCCGCCTCCCATCCATTAATGAAACCTCTCTTTCCCCGCTTTTTTTAAAAAAAGAAATCGCTTCCTACTGTCCTACTAAATGCAATTAAGGGGCCTTTCAATTGCTTCTAACTACAGAAAGGCTAATAAGAAATTCCGGACCAAAAAAGAGATTCGAGCACAGCAGAGAAGCAGCTGAGACGACCTAGCGACTCCCCGCCAAAATCTAACAGGCGCTTAATATCTCTATTAAGCTTTTCAGATATGTTAGCACAGAGCATGATGAGGAAGTCTAAAAAATATTTAATAAAGACCTTCTTTTTCCCCCTCCCCCCCCAAAAAGTCCTCAGGGAGACGAAGGAGAGTTGCGCTCAGCAAAAGAGCAGCAGAGGAAAACTGTTGATTCTCTTTTCCCGCCGAAACCCAACAGATGTTTCTCTCCCGCCAATGACTCGTCAGGCTCACGTCACCCAGCGGGCTTCTCCCTCCCAGTCGCGGTTTTTTTACATAGACAACAACCGGATGGAGGGCGATTGAGCATGCGCACCTCCCAACCGACATCACCGAACGCCTGGCCTCTCTAGGACTCCGCGCTCGCTCGCTGCAACCGTTTTTTTCGCAGGGTCGTCTGGCACAGAGCCAGACATGCGCAGAGCCACCTGCGGAAGCCAAGGTGATGCGCACTCAGTAAGGGATAGTCAAGTCAATGATGCAGAGGGAGAGTTCGGATTCGCAAAGCCGGTCTAGTCTTGTGGGGAAAATATCTTCTGTCCTTAGCAGTTCTTAAAAGTAGGCAAATACAACCTAAGATGAACATGACATATTACATCAGTCATCTGCTTCAGCCATAGGGTGAACCTAAGGGGTCCACTGTCAAAGAAGCCACTGAATTGGCTGCCCCTCCAATTGGCCCTGATCCTTTTTGGGTTGGGTGCTGCCTGAATTGGGGATACTTCGATGTGCTTGGGCATGATGGGCCCCTAAGAACCTCGAGGGAGAAGAGGGCCCCCGAAGGAGACCTCATCCAGAGTCTGACCGAGAAAAAGGCCGTCCCTGAGGAGCTCCGAAGAAGCCCCATGGCAGCTCTTCACTCAGAACCGTCTCTTTCTCTCAACGGCCTTTCCCGCCTTTTTCCACCTCGCCGCCTGAGGGAATCGCACTGGGAGGGGCGTGGCCAGAAGGGAGGCGGGAAAGGGAAGGACTCTTGCAAGGTCCCGCCTCCCTTGCCCTGCAGCCTCAACGCCTCTCCTGGGGGTCCCAGACCCCCTTCTTCCCCTTCTGGGGAGGGGTTTCTCCTTCCCCCCTTCCCTTCCAAGGATCCTCTCCAGCTGACCCACCAGCAGCAACCGGGAGACTCCAGCAGGGCCCATGGAGGCTTTCCACAAGCCCCTCCTAAGAGAGGGAAGAACTGGACTTGGGAGGTGATCTGGACTGGAGGGGGGGAATGTTTTGGAATTGGTGTGTCAGGAATAAGCAGGAGCACCAATGAGACTCCTCCCTTGTTTGCGTCATCTGTCTCCGGGTAGAGTCTCTCGTGATTTCTCCCTGGGGAGGATTACTTGGAGCTGAAGATGAGAAAGTTGTGGGGCTCCGATTCATAGCAGCTCCAGCTGGACATTCACATGCTCATAGTTTGTGGGGAAACTGCATCATGCAGTTGGAGTTTTCTGAAGATTTATACACAAGCCAACACTCATATCTCACTGGATTTTTATCATACCTATCATCTCTTCCCCATCTCGCTCTCTAATCATCTATCATTTCTATCTTTTATCTATCATCTATATCATTTACCTATATCATATTTATTCATTCTTATCTCTAACATCTCTGTGTGTATGTATACAAACACAAACACACACAGAGATACTATCATCTCCATTCATCTTGTCAATCATCTCCATCCATATCTATCTATCTATCTATCTATCTATCTATCTATCTATCTATCTATCTATCTATCTTTATATATCTTATTTATCTACGGTATCTTTATCTATCAAGAGACAAGAGATAATCTATTATCTATCTATCATCTATCAACTCAACTCATTCCAGCGTTTATGACAGTATAAAATTTATTGTTTTATATTAAAAAAAGCAAAAGAGTTGAATTGGGGGAGGACAGCATTGTGGATGAAGCTCCTGTGGATTTAAAGCAGGGAGAAGAGATAGAGAAACTGCAGGGGGAGGGGTGAAAGGTTTGGGGCTCTGCTGGGCAAAGAGCAGTTGATCCCTGACATCACTTCTCAGGAATGGGGAAATCCCAGAGTGACTGGTACATGCAAAGCATCTGGGATGTCACTGGATATGTTGGCCCCCAGTCTTGGTCAACCACCAGATGGATTTCGGGTTAAGCAGCTGTCGGTGGATGGTTCCAGCCATTGCTCTGAATGGGAGCCTCTACTGAGCAGGAGAGATTTGGGGGCGGGAGGGGTTGGAGTGACAGGCAGTCCAAGGGTTCCTGAGGGCAGACTACATGGTCTCCATCCCTCCCTGTTTCCCCTCCTTCAAAAAGAAGAGAGCCTTTGAAGCCAACTGGTGGGTCTCAGCAGAAGAAGGTCCAGGCTACGATTTTCCTCCTCTCCCCAGTCCACCATGTTGAACGTCCAATTACCAAAGGGGAAATTCACCAGTGATTCCTAAAAAAAATTCTTTCCCATCAGAAAACAGGAAGGGACGCCAGGATTAACTCATGAATGCTGAGGAAAAAAAGAGACAGACTATATAGTAAAACCTTTAGTGTAAATAAGTTCTTTTTTTTTGGAGAGTCTGCAGGCTAAACACAGGGTGGGCTTCTCTTCCCCCTCCCATTCAGCCCCCCCCATACATACACACATTGTTAGATCACTCTGCAGGAGGGTGGTTGATAGGCAGGGCTAGAAGAGAGGGAGAATCCATCCTTTAATGAGAAGGCTGTGAAGGACCAGGGATCCCTCCCCATTTCATTTCCTGGGACATGAAGGGGATCTGAGTTCAGGGGCTGCAAAGGGAGGGCTCCAGGGTGACCTTGAGAAGATGGAATTATCCCTAATTGATTTAATTAGGGTGTTAATCAAGAGAGGAAGACCTCCCTCCCTGCAGATATTTCATATTAACAAAAAACAGAATCATAAAATCAAAATCATGTGAAGTATTAATACCGCTTTATAAAGCCTTAGTAAGGCCACACCTGGAATGCTGCATCCAGTTTTGGTCACCACATTACAAAAAAGATGTTGAGATTTTGGAAAAAGTGTAGAGAAGAGCCACTAAGATGATTAAAGGCCTGGAGACTAAAACAGTGATGGCGAACCTTTTAGAGACCGAGTGCCCAAACTGCAACCCAAAACCCACTTATGTATCGTCGGGCGCTGGGTGGGCGTGGCCCATTGGGTAGGTGTGGTCAATTGGGTGGGCATGGCCCCTTGGGTGGGCATGGCTGCAGTGGTAACGACAGACTGGTTGGGACTAAAAAGTTCAATCAATCAATTCCAACTTTGCGAGATCTTTTTTTCCCCCCGCGAGAAGTTGAAATTGATTGATTGAACTTTTTTTTTTTGCACACGGTGGCAGAGGCCTTAAGGGAAAAGGTTTTATAAAACCCAACTGAAGGTCTAGAACTGGGGTGATGGCGCGCGTGCCCACAGAGAGGGCTCTGCATGCCACCTGTGGCACATGTGCCATAGGTTCGCCACTACAGGACTAAAACATATGAAGAATGGCTGCAGGACTTGGATTTGACCAGTCTAGAGAAAAGAAGGACTGGGGAGGGGGGGACATGATAGCAGTATTCCAGTGTTTGAGAGGGTGCCACAGAGAAGAGGTGGTCAACTTATTTTCCAAAGCACCTGAAGGCAGGACAAGAAACAATGGATGGAAACTGATCAAGGAGAGAAGCAACCTGGAATTAAGGAGAAACTTCCTAATAGTGAGGACAATTAACCAGTGGAACAGCTTGCCACCGGAAGTTGTCGGTGCTTCATCACCGGAGGTTTTTAAGAAGAGACTGGGCAGCTATTTGTCCTGCTTGAGCAGGGGTTTGGACTAGAAGACCTTCAAGGTCCCTTCCTGTTCTATTCTGATTAAATTAAGAAGATGGTGCTAATTCTAACCCTGGTGTCACTTTGTGCAAAATGTCACAAAGCGGCAAGGATGAGGAATGGCAGCCCAAAACTCAGGGTGCTCCCTCCCACTAATGACAGGGATAGCCCCATGTTTTAATGTTGTATGTATTTTGTGTTTTATTGCACTGTGTTTGGGGGTCTCTGTAAGGAAAAACTGACTAAAATTTCAGCAGTTTGCCTTCTCCCCAGCATGGACGCTTTGAGGGGTTCACTGAAAGTATGATTCAGTTAGTTCAGACGCATTTTTTTTTAGAAAAGGAAGAATTAAAAAAAATCTATAACTTGTGGGAGGGGTTCGTTTGAGGGGAATAGAAAAAAACTCACCTGCAGGGGGTTGGATGGGAGTTGCTGGAAGGAGAAAAAGACCCAATCAGGACCCTTCGTGGGCTGGAGGACTCAGCCCCCCCTCCCCATCGATAGCCCATAATAGATTCCATAATGTGCCATTAAAATAAATGATCCCAAATTTTTCCGGGGACCACCGGGTTTAGGCTTCAAATGAACCTGCTTGGCCAGCTACTCACTAAGCTTGATGAGACGCCTCCCTTTTCATCCAGTCGCCCAGACTCACCTTTCTTGCTCTTCAGGTGGAGGGAGAGCCCCACAGCCAGGAAGGCCACCCCCAGCACAGCCCCCATAATCCCCGTCCAGTGTTTGATCCTGGCAGAGTTGGAGGAACGGGGCTCTGGGGAAGGAGAAGGAGCTCCCCTGAGCAGGAGGATCAGGGCCAGCTTCCCCCCCCCCAGAGGGTCACCTCCGGAGCCCCCCACAGAGAGGGTCTCTCCCCCCTTCTTGGGCAGGATGCTGTCCCCAGACCAGGAAGGAAGGGAAGGGAGGGACTCACCCCACTGGACAGTGATGGGAGCCTCCAGGCTGGCGTGCCCCACCTGGCAGGCGTAGACGTCCCCCCGCTGGGTCTGGGTCTCCAGCAACACCTGGAGCTGGTAGGTCCAGTCTCCATTCTGGAGCTCCTCCCCAAAGGCCACGCCCTCCTCTTCCAGCCGCCCATTCTTCAGCCACCAGACCTCGATCTCCACGGGGTAGAAGCCCCTCACGGTGCAGAGGAGGATGGTGTTGGGGGAAGCGGGGTCCAACTTGGTGGAGGAGATGGAGACGGTGGGCTTGACTGGAGGAAAGGAGGAGGAGGAGAGATGTGAGAGACACAACAGGGTCCAGAACAGGAGACCAAGTTGGTCCCTTCAGGCCAAGACCCCTTTTTACTCCTAAAAATATTTTGTGTTAAAGAATAGGATAATAAACGAAGCAACGTAGTCATTCCATACATTGCAGGAATAACGGAAAAGCTTAGGAGGATCTTCAGCCAACACAATATACGTGCACACTTCAAACCCAACAAGACAGTAAGGCAGAAGCTTATCTACCCCAAGGATAAAACACCCAGACACAAACTGAGCAATGTGGTATATGTAGCACAGTGCAATGAGCCATAGGCAGATCTGTACATTGGGGAAACAAAACAACCACTTCACTAACGAATGGCACAACATAAGAGAACAAACCCATCTGGACAAGATTCAGCAATTCATCTGCATTTAAAAGACAAAGGCCGCTCTTTCGAAGACAGCAAAGTCCTCATTTTGGACAGAGAGGGCCGCTGGTTTGAAAGAGGGGTCAAAGAGGCCATCTAGGTCAAAATTGAACAGCCCTCCCTCAACAGAGGGGGAGGAATACGACATCCTCTATCTCAGTGGTTCTCAACCTGTGGGTCGGGACCCCATTTGGGGTCGAACGACCATTTCATGGGGGTCGCCAAACCATGCTGTCCACCATTTTGTTCCCTTTTCCCTAGCTGTCCTACTCCCTCTTATTGGTGGCCACACCCACTTGGGGGTCACCACAACATGGGGAACTGTATTATGGGGTCACGGCATTAGAAAGGTTGAGAACCACTGCTCTATCTCCAGTCTACAACACAAATCCTTTCAGCAGTTCCAGGAAGGCTCCACACCCATTTGCACCACTCAGGTGACCCTGAGGACAGAGGTAAACCTCCAAACGGTCCCGATGACTCTCTAAAAGAAGGCAAGTGACCAGCTGTCTGCAAGGAGTATAAATACTTCCATTTCCCCACCATCCAGTCAGAGCTGAAGAAGCTTCTTAGATGAGAAGCGAAACGTCTTCAAAGGAAAACCAGAAAGTCCTGTTGCTTTGTGAAAAGAACATCTTTGGGACAATCCTCTGGTGGTAAAAAGATTTCAAACTGCATCTCTCAAATTGAAAAGGATATTATTTATTTATTTTCTAAATTGTTATATTACATGGCAGACCCTTCTAACCCCCCCCCCCCCCGCAAATCGGAACCCCTTCCAAGTATGAAGACTGCCATGATCTGGTTCAAGGTGAAGCAGAAGCTGTTACCAAAAAGCGGGTTTCAAGGGACCCCAGACCCTCCAAAATTGGCTGAACAAAATTTCTCAACCTTTGAATTCTGTATGATTGGGATTTATATTTTCCTTTAAACACTGAATCATGATTATAAATTTTAGTGGGCTTCCTTTATTTACTTGTTGGTTGGATTTAAAAGCTGCCAGACTGCAAATGATTCTGAATACAGAATAGAGCAGTGGTTCTCAACCTTTTTAATGCCACGACCCCAACCGGTCGTAAGTCGAGGACTACTCAACCGGTCGTAAGTCGAGGACTACTCAACTGGTGCAGCACTGTTTGCAGAATGGGACTTTTGGCGGGCTCAGCAGGGCAGAGACAGCCTGGACAATTCCTATTGGCTTTTGAAAGCCAATAGAGTTAGACTGTATTCAAGAGAGTCTATTCTATTGCCCCCCTTTATGGATTACTGCCTTGTCGTGGCGAAGGGGCTTGCGTAACTCAATGAAGCTATAAGCTATGCCGTGCAGGGCCACCCAAGATGGACAGGTTATAGCAGAGAGTTCTGACAAAATGTGATCCACTGGAGAAGGAAATGGCAAACCACTCCAGTATCTCTGCCATGAAAACCCCATGGACAGTACTAAAAGGACAAAAGATATGACGCTGGAAGATGAGCCCCTCAGGTCGGAAGGTGTCCAATATGCTACTGGGGAAGAGCCGAGGGCTAGTACTAGTAGCGCCAGAAAGAATGAAGCGACTGGGCCAAAGCCAAAAGGACACTCAGCTGTGGATATATCTGGTGGTGAAAGGAAAGTCCGATGCTGTAAAGATTTTTTCTCCATATGAACCTGGAATGTAAGATCCATGAATCAAGGCAAGCTAGACATAGTCAAAAAAGAGATGACAAGACTGAACATCGACATCTTAGGAATCAGCGAACTAAAAGGGACAGGAATGGGTGAATTTAACTCAGATGACCATCAGGTATACTACTGTGGGCAAGAATCCCTCAGAAGAAATGGAGTAGCCTTCATAGTCAATAAAAGAATAGGAAAAGCAATACTGGGATACAATCCCCAAAATGACAGAATGATCTCAATTCGAATCCAAGGCCAACCATTCAATATCACAATAGTCCAAATCTATGCCCCAACCACTGGTGCTGAAGAGGATGAAATTGACCAGTTTTATGAAGCCCTACAGCACCTTATAGAATTAACACCAAAAAATGATGTTCTTATCATCATGGGGGATTGGAATGCTAAGGTAGGAAGCCAAAAGATAACCGAATAACAGGCAAGTTTGGCCTTGGAGTACAAAATGAAGCAGGGCACAGGCTAATAGAATTTTGTCAAGAGAATACGATGGTCATAACAAACACTCTTTTCCAACAACCCAAGAGACGGCTCTACACATGGACATCACCAGACGGTCAACATATAAATCAGATTGACTATGTGCTCTGCAGCCAAAGATGGAGAAGCTCTATACAGTCAGTAAAAACAAGACCAGGAGCTGACTGTGGCTCAGATCACGAGCTTCTCATTGCAAAATTTAGGCTTAAATTGAAAAAAGTAGGGAAAAGCACTAGGCCACTCAGGTATGAACTAAATCATATTCCTAATGAATATACAGTAGAGGTGACAAATAGATTTAAGGAACTGGATCTGATAGACAGAGTGCCTGAAGAACTATGGATGGAAGTTCGCAACATTGTACAAGAGGTAGCAACTAAAACCATCCCAAAGAAAAAGAAATGCAAGAAAGCAAAATGGCTGTCTGAGGAAGCTTTGCCAATAGCTGAGGAAAGAAGGGAAGCGAAAGGCAAAGGAGAAAGAGAAAGATACACCCAATTGAATGCAGAATTCCAGAGAGTAGCTAGAAGAGATAAGAATGCCTTCATAAATGAACAGTGCAAAGAAATAGAAGAAAACAACAGAATAGGGAGGACCAGAGATCTCTTCAAGAAAATTGGAGATATGAAGGGAACATTTCATGCAAAGATGGCATGATAAAGGACCAAAATGGCAGAGACCTAACAGAGGCAGAAGAGATTAAGAAGAGATGGCAAAATTACACAGAAGAACTATACAAGAATGAGCTTAACCTCCCAGATAACCACAATGAGATGGTCACTGACCTCGAACCAGACATCCTAGAATGTGAAGTGAAATGGGCCTTAGAAAATCTGAGCAACAACAAAGCTAGTGGAGGTGACAGTATTCCCGCTGAGCTATTCAAAATCTTAAAAGACGATGCAGTAAAAGTGCTACACTCAATTTGCCAGCAAATTTGGAAAACTCAACAGTGGCCGCAGGATTGGAAAAGGTCAGTTTACATTCCAATTCCAAAGAAAGGCAATGCCAAAGAATGTTCAAACTATCGCACCATTGCACTCATTTCACATGCTAATAAAGTTATGCTTAAAATCCTACAAGCTAGACTCCAGCAGTATGTGGATCGAGAACTACCAGAAGTACAGGCAGGATTTCGAAGAGGCAGAGGAACTAGAGATCAAATTGCCAACATACGCTGGATAATGGAGAAAGCTAGGGAGTTCCAGAAAAACATCTACTTCTGCTTCATTGACTATGCAAAAGCCTTTGATTGTGTGGATCACAACAAACTGTGGCAAGTTCTTAAAGAGATGGGAGTACCAGACCATCTCATTTGTCTCTTGAGAAACCTATATGCGGGTCAAGAAGCAACAGTGAGAGCTGGACACGGAACCACTGATTGGTTCAAAATTGGAAAAGGAGTCCGGCAAGGCTGTATACTGTCGCCCTGCCTATTTAACTTGTATGCAGAGCACATCATGAGAAAGGCAGGGCTAGATGAATCAAAAGTTGGAATTAAGATTGCCGGGAGAAATATCAACAACCTAAGATATGCAGATGATACTACTCTAATGGCAGAAAGTGAAGAGGAACTAAAGAGCCTCTTGATGCGGGTGAAGAAGGAGAGTGCAAAAGTTGGCTTGAAACTCAACATTAAGAAAACCAAAATTATGGCAACCGGCCCTCTCAATTCCTGGCAAATAGATGGGGAAGAAATGGAGGTAGTGACAGATTTTATTTTTCTGGGCTCCAAGATCACCTCAGATGGGGACTGCAGCCAAGAAATTAAAAGACGCTTGCTCCTGGGGAGGAAAGCTATGGCAAATCTAGATAGCATACTAAAAAGCAGAGACATCACCCTGCCAACAAAAGTGCGTATAGTCCAGGCCATGGTTTTCCCAGTTGCAATGTATGGCTGTGAAAGTTGGACCATAAGAAAGGCTGAGCGCAAAAGAATTGAGGCCTTTGAATTATGGTGCTGGAGAAGACTCCTGCGAGTCCCTTGGACTGCAAGGCGTTCAAACCGGTCAGTCCTAGAAGAGATCAACCCTGACTGTTCTTTAGAAGGCCAGATCCTGAAGTTGAAACTCAAATATTTTGGCCACCTAATGAGAAGGAAGGATTCACTGGAAAAGGGCCTAATGCTGGGAAAGATTGAGGGCAATAGAAGAAGGGGACGACAGAGAATGAGATGGCTGGATGGAGTCACTGAAGCAGTAGGTGTGAACTTAAATGGTCTCCAGAAGATCGTAGAGGACAGGAAGACCTGGAGGAACGTTGTCCATGGGGTCGCGATGGGTCGGACACGACTTCGCAATTAACAACAACAAATTCTATTGCCTTTCAAAAGCCAATAGAATAAAAGGGAGTAGCACAGCTAAGGAAAAGGGGGAAAAAATGGCGGACTGCGTTGTTTGGCGACCCCCGTGAAATGGTCGTTCGACCCCAAATGGGGTCCCGACCCACAGGTTGAGAACCACTGGAATAGAGGAAGAAAAAGAAGCAAAACATCTATATAAAAGGACGCAACAGGCGAAAGGACCTTTCACTAATTCTCTTTTTCAGACTTTTGAAAATTTATGTTTCATTCTAAAATGCCCAAAACACCATTTTTTAGATCCAGGAAGAGGGAATTCAGCTTCTGGCAGGAAAGTGGGAAGGGGAGCCCTTCTACCACTGCATGTTATGGGGCCAGGTATCCCTCTTGCTCCTGTTACATAAGCCCCTCCCACCCAGTCAGGCAACGAAGGCAGCTTGTGAACCCTGTGAGCCAAATTGAGGGGGGGGGGTGTCCAGACTGGAGAGTTCCAGGAAGAGAGCCCCTCCCAACCACGCCCTATGGATCATTTCCCACCCAGGTGAAGTGAGACCCCACCCTCCTGGCCTTCCGAAAAGATGCTAAAAACATTGGGTCTCACATAGGATCACTTTTCATTAACTTCCATACTAGGTTTAATTCATCCTTGTCTTTAAAATTTTAAATTATATACACTGTATATATGTATGTATTTATTAATTTGTTGCTCAAACTTCTTAACCTCCCATCTCCAGAGGGGCTCTGTGCAACAATTTGATATTTCGTCTGTACACGGGCCACAGTCCCCCTGTGAGAGATATGCAGTTTTAACATTGGATGTAAATGAATGTTGGGGAGGTTCTAGCATCCCCCTCCTCAGGAAGCCCACCTGGAACTCACCTCTTCGGCAATCAAACGCTCGGACCTGGGTGCGTTGTAGTTATACACCCTGTAGTTGTACCTGCAGAAGAGATCCACAGTGGCTGTCGCGTCCTCCAGGATGCGCTTATCTTTGTTCCAAGTGTCGGCGTCCACTTGGCCCAACTCTGTGATGGCCACGAACTTCCCAAGGTTGCTGTCGAAGCGGAGATATTCCTGCTGGTCATAGAAGTAGCTCTGCAGGTAATACACCTGCCGTGTCCCATTGAGGAAGTGGCACTCAGACTTCCCCTGCACCAAGAACTGGACTAGGAGGAGGAGGAGAAGGAGGAGGGCCATCAAGAGGGAGTCCAGGGCCCATCGTTCCCAGGTACTAGTAGAGAAGGGACCCCCCCCCCCCGGCAGGAAGAGGGAGCTGGGAAAGACTGATGGAAGATGCCCTCTGGAGGAGGGAGAGGGAACTTTCTCAGTCCCAGTGGGATGCAACTTACTGGGAGTCTGGAGGGGGGGAAGGAAAGAGGGGGAAGGGGAGGAGCTTCCTGAGGGACCTCCTCCATCCTCCCAGGGTGGAAAAAGACAGGCAGAAGCTCAAATGGTACAGCACACCCTCTCTCTGCATAAACAGCAGAAGGCATGGGGGAAGTGGGCTGAATAGATTACCACAATATCTCTCTGGGTTGGAGAGAAAGTAATATCCACATGTTCCTCTTCTGGGGGGGGGGATATTGGGAGGGTGGGGCACCATCAGGACCTTTGAATTGATACTCCTAGGATCTCCCAGCCTTTCCACCCCCACCTGTTCTGGTCACCCCCAAACGTTTCTTCTCCCCCTTAGTCTTCAGCCCTACTACTTGCCTTGTAGGTCACCTGGTAGGGAGGGGGGGGTGACATAATAAATAAATAAAATAAAAATATTCAGGAGTTCAGGCCTCTTTCCTGCCACCCCTCCCCAAAGATACTCTGCTGCAGTATAATGGGAGATTAAAATTCAGATACCCCCATTTCCCCCCCCCATCAGTTTCCCCCTCAACTTCAGGCCTCCATTGAGCAATGGGGAATTGTGGAGGGATGGGTCTCATCCCCAGATTCAGAGTCTCTCCCAAGAAAGGATCAAAGCTCAACTCTTGCCTGAACCTCACATTTGAGATTCAGAAGAAAAACTCAAGTTTCTGAAGAAACCAAAATACTTTTGTCACATTTTGTTATATATTTTTTTCTTGCATTGGTGGACTTAGGTCTCAAAATGCCTCTCTTTCCCTTTCCGTCTCCTTCCTCTTTTAATGCAACCGACCAGAGAGTCTCCTGCTTGAGCAGGGGGCTGGACAAGAAGACCTCCAAAATCCCTTCCAGCTCTATTCTGATTGATTGATTGATTGATTGACTTTTGGGGGCTCCAGATTCGGGTCTAATTCGGGGCCCGGAAGGTCCCACTCCCACTCAGGCACGGGGAGAGGTGAGAGAGGGGCTTGGCTGCGTCTCATCCCTGATCAGCTGCCTTCCCACGACCCTCGCCCCACCACAGTCCCAACGAGAGAAGCGAGAGTCTCTCCAAGTCCTCCTGGCAAAATGTGGGGAGGGGACGGAGACCACTCGGAGATCGAGGCTCCTGCAGGCTCTCGCCTCTCTTGCCCTCGACCCCTTTCCACAGTCCTTTCCAAAGGGAGTCCTCTTTCTTTCCTCTCCCCTCCACCGGTATCGGAGGTCCTTCCCAACCCCTCCGCCCGACGAACCCCCTCCTTACCGGGGGTCTCCTTGCCCCCTTCGCTTCCAGGGATCCGGGCCAGCGCCCCCGCCAGCAGCAGCAGCATCAGGGGAAGCCCAGCGGAGCCCATGGATGCCGTCCCACAAGCGCCCCAGAGAGAGGGGAGAAAAACCCAGATGGTCCCAGCTCCAGAGGCGGAATCGGTGGGTCAGGATTGGTGGGGAGGAAGCGTTTATTTCTTGTCAAGTCAGAGTTGGGAGAATCCAGAGAAGCGAAAGCACCAATGAGAAATTCTCCCTTCTGCAACGTCATCGGTTTCCGGGCAGAGCTTCCCTTGACCTCAGGGAAAGAAGCGGCTTTAAGAGACGGGAGAAAATGCATTTTCCTTTCTTGAAACACGTGTCTCTCTTGCTCAAGACGCGCCCACGATTCAGCTCCTTCACATTTCCCTTTTTTACATATGCATGTGAAAAAAAGGTATAATTTTAAAAACATTCTAGAATCCTGTTTGGAATTTCTGGGCAAAGAGGGGGGCAAAATTTGAGTTTTCTCCCCAGAGCCAGCGCTGCGCATGGAGTGGTCTGTGAGTTCTTTTATACCACTATTGCAGTGGGTGACATAATGGAGTTTACACAATTGCACAACAAGGCTTGTGATGTCCCGGTGGTGTCTATGTAACATCTCTTGGTAGAGGTCGATCTTTCTGCGCTCCTAGATGCCACTTGGCAGGCGAAGGGGACAGAGAAAATGTCCCATGGACCAAGAGGGACTCAGTTCTCCCTGCAGGACAAAGACCAGCAGGTGAAAAATCTAAGGAAGCAGCTTCAGACGAGTAGTCGGAAGAAATTTTCTGACCAGACAAGGCTTTGGCCAAGGGAACAACCTGCCACCTGAAGCACTTGAGGTCTTTTGCAGGAGTCACTTCAAACAGATGGGGGGGGGACATCAGGCAAATGCCCCAGCACATCCACTTAGTGAGCAGGGGTTGGACTAGATCAGGGGTCCCCAACCACAGATCCGCATCCCACTACCAGGCCTTGAGCCCTTTGGAACCGGGCTGAGGAAGTGGTGGGTGCGCATGCTCACCACTCCCGCAGAACCTTCCTTTCTTTTCCCCCCACCGCCAGTCCACAAAGCTGGAAAAGTTGGGGAATTCCAGACTAGATGGCCTCTGAAGACCCAGCCTCCTGTGAAGAATAAAGCATGAACATCTAGTACTGGTAGTCCTTAACTTACGACCGCAATTGAGCCCAAAATTTATGTGGCTAAGGGAGATATTTGTTAAGTGAGTTTTGCCCTGTTTTACAACTTTTCTTGACATATTTGTTAACTGAATCATTGCAGTTGTGAAATGAGTAACATGGTTGTTAAGTGAATCTGGCTTTCCCCATTGATTTTGCTTCTTAGAAGCTTGCAAAAGGGGATCATGTGACCCCGGGACACTGCAATACCATCACAAAGATGAGTCAGAGCATCTCAATTTTAATCACGTGACCAAGAGGGATGCTGCAACAGTTATAGGTGTGAAAAATGGTCACAAGTCATGAGTTTTCAGTGCCGTTGTAACTTCAAATGGTCAGTAAATGAACTGTTGTAAGTCAAAGGCTACCTGTGTGATCCAACAGCTGAGAAAATTATAGGAAGCTCGCTTTACGTTATTCAGGGTGCTGCTTATAAGCGCTATGTGCTTAGAGCTCAAAGCATTGTTAGAGACCCTCCACACACCCACTTTGTGGTCTGTTTCTGTTGCTCCTCTCTAGGAGGATGTTTCGAAGTATTTCTAGCAGGACTACCCGATAGTGTAATAGCTTGGTTCCCTATGCCATCCATCTGGTAAACTCGCAAGATTCGTTTCTCTCGCCATGCACATGTATACATCCGAACTAGATTGTGTTCTTTCTCTGTGTCACATAATATGTGTGGGTATATGCATAATTCTGTATTTATTTATTTTTGTCATATTTATGTAGTGTATATTGGAGTGGTGACCCTTTGAGAGCTGTATGCAATGAAATTTCATTTTAATGTATGCCCATTAGTGTACATTTAAAATTATTCTATTCTATTCTATATTCTACTCTACTCTACTCTCCCTTCCATTCCATTCTATTCCATTCCATAACATTACATTACATTCCCTATTCTATTCCATATTCTATTCCTATTCTATTCTGTTCCATTCAATAACATTCCATTCCATTCCTTATTCCATTCCATATTCTATTCCTATTCTGTTCCGTTTCATTCTATATTCTGCTTTACTCTACTCTACCTTCCGTTCCGTTATATTCCATTCCATAATATTCCATTCCATTCCCTATTCTAGTCTATTCCATTCCGTATTCTATTCCTATTCTCTTCTGTTCCGTTCCATTCCATAATATTCTATTCCATTCCATTCCTTATTCCATTCCATTCCATTCTTTGTGCAATGCCTCCGTGTTCTACAATGACTTCCGACCAGCATAAATGCCATCAGAGATGTCACTGTCTGGAAAACAAAAAACAACAAAGCAACAAAAAAGCGGGAGCGTCATCTAACCGCGTGTCCGGCCCCGAGCAGGGGATGGGCTGGGTAGCCTGCCCTTTAAGGTCCCCTCACGATTTTCCAGGAGCCACCAGGGGGCGCTCACTGCCGACTCGCTGAGCGCCACTGCGCATGCTCTGCCTGGTTCGGGTGGACCGCTTGCGAGCAGGGCGGTGTGGCTCCGCGGGGCTCGGGCAGGAGAGGGTCCGTCGACCCAGAGCCTCTTCCGGGAGGAGCAGCCTCCTTCCATCCGGAGACGGAGCCTCCCCGGCCGGTTCTCGCGGACGGGGGAAGTCCGTCTCTCTCCCATCAAACCAGCCAGTGGAGGGATGGAGGGGCTTTGCTGGACTGCGAATCTCGAGGGTAGGGGAGACCCCCCCCCAATCCTACTCCTGGCTGTGCATGCAAGGGATCCGATATTGGGGGGCGGGGAGAGTTTGAGAGTGGGGGGAGAAGCCCACGGGAACCAAGTGCTCACATTACGCGTAGACCAGGTTTGCTTCGCAGCGTTGCTAGCATAAAAGAATCCGGGGCGGAGGTGGGGGCATTGGAAATCTCCCAATTCTGAGCCTCGGATGTCATTTCTGGTGGATCTGAAGACCCTCAATGTTTTTTCCTGCAGTCAATGAAGCTCAGCTGCACTTCTGCAGAAGATCCTCCCTCTCAAATAATGGTGGGTTTCTGAGGGGAGGAGGGAGGGACAGAGACGGAGAGAGGAGCAGAGCTTAGAAATGTGCTTTTTCGCAAAGCAACTGGACTTCCTGGTTTTGCTTTTAAGACTTTTCACTTCTCATCCAAGGAGCTTCTTCAGCTTTGACTGGATGGTAGGGAATAGAAGGATCCAGTGAGAGCTGAAGAAGCTTTTTCAAAGAAAAGGAAGTCCAGTTGCTTCTGGAAAAAGCACCTTTGGGATAACTATGACCTGGATGACTGAAAATCTCCATAGACAACAGGTCTTACACTGGGCCCGAAATATCTGGTTTGGCCCCCACCTCCAAAATGTCCCTTTTCCCTTGTTTTGATTAAATCAGGGGTAGGCAACCTTGGCTCTTTTATGACTTGTGGACTTCAACTCCCAGAATTCCTGAGTCAGCATGGCTGGTTCAGGAATTCTGGGTATAGAAGTCCACAAGTCATAAAAGAGCCAAAGTTGCCTACCCCTGGATTAAACCATCACAGTTTCCTAATGATAAGTCTGTATAATTCTTAAAAGTTTATTTTCCTTTTCTACCTCAGATGTAAAAGCTGGAGGCCTGTCGAGAGCCGAATGGTTTGAAAATCTTCTCCAGGCTTCTCTGTGCAACTCCCTCAGATCCCAGGACTGAAAAGACTTTTCCAGACTCAGGAGATCCACAGGGCCCTTCTGGATCCCTGTCAGAGAAGAGACTGGAAATGGATGCAAACCAGCCAGCTTGGGAGGGAGTAGGAAAAGGCCCTGCTGCTGCTCAACTTGGAGGCAGTGTGGAGATCTGGGCAGGACTCGGGCAGAAGATCCCAGAGAAGAAAGCTCTCAGTTCTGAGATTCAGCATTGGCACTTCAGGAACAGCCCCTTTCAGGAGGCCGAGGGACCGCGAGAGCTTTGCAGCCGCCTTCACCACCTTTGCTGGGGGTGGTTGCAGCCTGAGAAACACACCAAGGCTCAGATGTTGGATCAGGTGATCTTGGAGCAGTTTTTGGCCGTCCTGCCCAGGGAGATGCAGCACTGGGTGAGGGAATGCCGACCGGAGACCAGTTGCCAGGCGGTGGCCCTAGCCGAAGGCTTTCTGTTGACCCAAGCAGAAAAGGAGCAGAGAGAACACCAGGTGAGAGACATTTCTAAAATAGAATAAGAGTTAGAAGGGGCCTTGGAGGTCATCTAGTTCAACCACCTGGTCAGGCAGGATACCCTATACCATTTCAGACAAATGGCTGTCCAATCCCTTCTTTAAAACTTCCAATGTTGGAGCATTCACAACTTATGAAGGGAAGTTGTTCCACTGGTTAATTGTTCTAACTGTCAGGAAATTCCTCCTTAGTTCTAGGTTGCTTCTCTCCTTGATTATTTCTTGCTTCTTGTCCTGCCTTCTGTTGCTTAGGAAAATAGGTTGACTCCCTCTTCTTTGGGGCAGCTCCTCAAATATTGGAACTCTGCCATCATGTCTCCCCTAGTCCTTCTCTTCGTTAGACTAGACATACCCAGTTCCTGCAACTATTCCTTATATGGCTTAGCCTCCAATCCCCTGATCATCTTTGTTGTTCTTCCCTGTACTCTCTCCAGAGTCTCAACATCTTTTTTACATTGTGGTGACCAAAACTGGATGCAATATTCCAAGTGTGATCTTACCAAGACATTGTAAAGTGGTATTAACACTTCATGTGATCTCAATTCTATCCCTCTTAACGCAGCCTAGAAGTGCATTGGCTATTTTGGCAGCAGCAGCACACTGCTGGCTCATATTTAAGTGATTGTCCACTAGGAATCGCAGGATTCCTCTCACAGTTCCTACTATTGAGCCAGGTACCACCTATACACCACCTATACTTATATTCTCTTGGGAAATGTTGAGGGATCTTAATATGTCTGAATTCTTAAATGTCTCCTTTTAAGGGATCCCTCCTTTTGAGGGATTAATGACACATGATGTTAAGAGAATCACATTAGAGGAATTGTTCCTGTGTTCTTCCAGAGGGTATATATATATATGAAGCAATTCTTCCATTGGCTTCTTCCATCCCCACTGATGGACAAAGAAGTCTTGCAACTTTGTGGACACGGAATGAAAATTCAGTTTCTCTTATCTCCTGTTCTCTTAACTCCTTTGCTTTTATTTCAGATTCTGAGGTCCTTCCTGGCAGAGGGGTGTAACTGGATGGATCCCACAAATCCCTCTCAGGAATCATGTTTCAGAGGGATCTCCAAGGAGGAATGTCAACATCAGAATGCCTCACTAGGTAAGGGAGAATCCTTCCACGTGGTTGGAGATACTCCAGAGAGATTCTGGTTATTCTTAATTCTCTGTATCTTTTCATATCCTAATCGGACTTTCTTCCTTCAGTCCATGTGCCACTTTTCCATGGTTGCCCCTTTGCAGAAGACTGGGACTCTTCTGGGAATCACCCTGGAGTGCATTCTGGATCTCTTTGTTTTCATTGGTGGGGATTGGAGCAATCTGTCTGTGGCCTCTCTTGATGGATAATTTTTAATAAATTCTGACACAGATTATCTCCAACACCATCTGTCTTGCAGGCGTGTTTCCGGGCTGCCAGAATTTCAGTGGGATGGTTTCCAGAATGGTTGTCTTCCTGCAGGTGCCAGAACAGAATGGTTTCAGTCTGCAGGCAATGGGGAGAGGATAAACGGTGTTTGAGTGAATGCTTTGGTTGCCAAGAGTATACTTCCTTGTCTCCTTCCTGCCCAAAAGAGACAGAAACAAGTAGGGTTATTTCCCCAGTACGTGCTGGGATTGTGGTCCTCTCTTCTTATATTCTTGCCTCTCAAGATGAAGCCCAGGAAAGGCCACCAAAGCCAAAAGGTAGGTTTCCCTTGTAAAAAAAAGTCTTAAGTGATGCCTTCACGCTAGAAAATTATCCGTCAGGTCCCTGTCAGAATGCCAATATGCCGAGGGGAGGGGGACTGTTACTTAGGGATAGAAGAATTTGTTGCTTTCGCTTTGATATATCTGTATAAGAAATAGGGAGGGAAAAATGGGTCACGCCAGTGGATTGGCTCCTGATGGATTGGGGCCTTTGGGTAGAATTTGAACAATGAGAAATTAGCTTAATGATTCACACGGGAACTTCAGATTCCGCCTAATATAAAGTCCTGCCTCAGCTATCTTCTGCTTCCATCATGTCTCTCTTCTTCCCAGATAACAAAATGGAGTCATCATTGTTTATCGGTTCCTCTCCTTGTACTGGTGGAGCTGAAAGAGTGGCTGGACTTCCAGCTCAGGTAGAAAGGAAAAGATCTGGGTCTAATATAGGGGAGCAGTTGGAGACTGCTTTGGGGTCATTTGAGGTCTCAGCGTGTAATACCGCTGTTCCTGAGCTACATGGGATAGGGAAATTAGGATTCAAATTAGGAATCAGTCACACTTTGCCTCTCTCTTGACTGTTTTGGAAATGCATTGAATTCTTTAGTTTATATGTTGCTGGACTTAAAAAATGGTAGTTCACACTTTAAAATAGGCAAAACAATAGGATAGTGCCATCCTTGATCATTTTGGAGGGCTAATAAGGAAGTTGCTAACCTAATTTGCAAAAATACAGTGGCATAAAAGATCTCCACTGAGAGTTATTCTTTCTTTTCAAGAGTAGCTTTTTCTTCTGGGCTTTAAGGAGATTCCCCAAAAGAACAAAGACATCCCTGGTTCCAGCTTGGCTTTTAAGAATTTCCATTGGTGCCAGTTTGCGATGCATTACAGAAATGCTTTCAACATGGCCTCTTTCCAACTTTTTGTCTAGGAAAGAGATAAAGGGGTTAGTGGTCCCCTTTATGGGCTGTTTATGTTGTGGGTTTTTAATGTAGGTCACCTGGAGTCATCTTTGTGTGAGTTGGATAGCCATATAAATTTGTTAAATAAATAAATAAAAACTTCCACATAGAAAGGATATATTGTATAAGACACATAACACACACATACAAGAGATCAGGGAATGGTGTTATCACATAACATCTGGAGCCCAGCCAGGGAAATGTCCAAATAAGCATTATAACACTGTGTTTTTAGGATTTGCAGATTAAAGGAAATCTTGCAAATTCTTCCTGAGTCTTCTTACAGGAATTCTTCCTTGTTCAGGGTCTTGTGTCCTTTGAAGAGGTGACCGTCCATTTCACCAGTGAAGAGTGGTCGCTCCTGGATTCCAGACAGAAAGCCTTGCACCAAGAAGTCATGTTGGAAACACGTAGGATTGTAGCCTCTTTAGGTAAGGGTCCCTCTGGATCAGGAGTCCTCAACCTGTGGACCATAGCCCACTACTAGTCTTTGGCCTATTTGCAACCGGGCCATGTGGCTGGCGCATGATTGTACATGCGCACAGCTCCACGTGTGTGTCACAGGTGTTCGGGGCCTCACTTGCTGAACATTGCAGACACTTGCAGCCCCACTTGTGTGACCATCACGGGCACTTGAGGCCCCACTCGTGAGCATCGTGGGCGCTCAGGGCCTGACTTGTACAAGCGTTACGGTTGCTCATGACCCCACTCACATGAGCATCATGGGCACTTGGGATCTCTCTTGCGCAAGCGTCGCAAGCGCTCGGGATTACACTTCCACTAAACCATCCCCTCTTTCCCCCCTCCCCTCCTTCGGGCCACCAACCCAGAAAGATTGGGGAACTCTGCTCTGGAGGAAAATTATGTCAGAGTAAGGAGTCATTAGACAACTTATTTACATCTTGGGAGATCTGTACAGATGTTTTTGCTTATTTCACATATCCTTATCACCATATATTTCATACAATTATTTTACAATGATATGTATATTCTGTGATCAGACATCTTGACATTTCTGATTTCCTTTCCCCCCCCCCCCAAGCAGTCAATGAGCAGAAGTATGAGAATTACCAAGAGCCAAATCTGGTGCCATTGGAAATAATAAAAATTGAAATACCAGAAGAGACATTGGCAGATAAGTGGGGAATGAAGGAACATGAAAAAAGCCAAACTTACAATGGCAATGAAATATTCACTCTTCAGTGTGCGGAAATTAATCACTTTCTAGCCCAGTGTATTTGCAAAGAAAACAATATGTGCAACACACAAGAGAGTGGGGAAATATACAAAGGAAAATCCATGTTTGGTAATGACTTTGAAATGGAAAAGAGCTCCAACAATAAAAGTGGTAACATTATTCCCCATAAAATGATCCATATGAAGGAGAATCCCTATAAATGTGAGGACGGGAAAAACAGTTGCAGTTCAATTAATTCCCTTACCTACCAGAAAAGGATCCATATGGGAGAAAAACCTTATAAATGCCTGGAGTGTGGAAAGAGCTTCAGCAGCAGTAGTTACCTGACCATCCACAGAAGGGTCCACACAGGAGAGAAACCTTATACATGCATAGACTGTGGGAAAAGCTTCAGTATGAAAAGTTCTCTTACTTCTCATAAACGGGTTCATACAGGAGAGAAACCTTATAAATGTCTGGAGTGTGGGAAAAGCTTCGGGAACAGAGATCATCTGACTTCTCATCAAAGGACCCATACAGGGGAAAAACCTTATAAATGCACAGACTGTGGAAAGACATTTAATTGGCATGGCCACCTGACTTCTCACAAAAGGATTCACACGGGAGAGAAACCCTATCAATGCCTGCAGTGTGGGAAGAGCTTCAGTATGAACAGTTCCCTAACTTCACATAAAAGGATCCATACCGGAGAGAAACCCTATCGATGCTTGGAGTGCGGAAAAAGCTTCAGTATGAACAGTTCTCTTATTTCTCATACAAGAGTTCATACCGGAGAGAAACCCTTTCAGTGCCTGGAGTGTGGAAGAAGCTTCAGTATGAAAAGTTCCCTTACTTCTCATCAAAGGATTCACACTGGAGAAAAACCCTACAAATGCGTAGACTGTGGTAAAAACTTCAGTATGAAAAGTTCCCTTACATCTCATCAAAGAGTCCATACAGGAGAGAAACCCTATCAATGCTTAGAGTGTGGGAAGAAGTTCAGCCATAGCAGTCAGCTTACTTCCCATAAAAGGGTCCACACAGGAGAGAAACCCTTCACATGCACAGTGTGTGGAAAGAGCTTCAGCAACAGCAATCACCTGACTTCCCATAAAAGAATGCATACAGGGGAAAAACCCTATAAATGTACAGATTGTGGAAAAAGCTTCAGTATGAACAGTTCCCTTACCTCTCACAAAAGGATCCATTCAGGAGAAAAACCCTATAAGTGTGTTGAGTGTGGAAAAAGCTTCGGTATGAACAGTTCTCTTAGATACCATAAAAGGATCCATATGGGAGAAAAACCCTATAAATGCATAGAATGTGGGAAGAGCTTCATCCGACGCAGCGATCTTGCTTCCCACAAAAGGATCCACACGGGAGAGAAACCCTTTAAGTGTACAGAATGTGGAAAGAGCTTCAGTATAAATAGTTCTTTTAATTATCATAAAAGGCTCCATACAGGAGAAAAACCCTACCAGTGCCTGGAGTGTGGGAAGAGCTTCAGCAAGAGCAGTGTTCTGGCTTACCACAAAAGGATCCATTCAGGGGAAAAACCTTATAAATGCACAGACTGTGGTAAGACTTTCAATTGGTATGGCCACCTTACTTCTCATAGAAGGATTCACACGGGAGAGAAACCCTACAGATGCCTGGAGTGTGGAAAAAACTTTAGTCATCGTGATTCCCTTACTTCCCATAAGAGGATCCACACAGGAGAGAAACCCTATAAATGTATGGAATGTGGGAAGAGTTTCAGTCACAACAGTCACCTTACTTGTCATAAAAGGATCCATTCAGGGCTGAAGCCGTATATATGCAATGAATGTGGAAAAAGTTTTGTTACAAGAGGTTCCCTTACTAAACACATTAGTATTCACACAGGGGAGAAACTGTATCATTGCATAGAGTGTGGTAAGTACTTCCGGTTGAAAAGTCATCTAAATTCCCATAAAAGAATACATAACAAGAAAAAAGCAGTCGAAATGCTTTGAAAGTGGGAACTGGAGTCTTACAGAGGAGGGAACTCATGCATAGTGTGTGGGTAAACCTTCATATGGAGAAATCAAGTTAATTTCCATAAAGGGACTAATTCAAGTTTCTGGTAAGTACAAGGATCCTGTGGAAGATACCTGAGATGAACAGTCCATCTTTTTTTTTTTAGAAAATTGCCTGCCATAGAAGAAACTGAATAAAAGTATGGATTTTGGAAAGGATAGGATAGATTTCTTAAGACCATTTTACCACAGTGAGGTCCAACTCATGAAAATATATTATTAAATTAACAGAGTAACAGAATAACAGAGTTGGAAGGGGTCTTGAAGGTCTTCTATCCCTGGTCAAGCTGGAAACCGAATATCATTTCAAACAAATGGCTATTCAATGTCTCCTTAAAAACCTTCAGTGGAGGCAAGTTGTTCCACTGCTAAATTGTTCTGTCAGGAAATTTCTCCTTAGTTCTAGGTTGGTTTTCTCGTTGATTAGTTTCCATCCATTGCTCCTTGTCTCACCTTCAGATGCTTTGGAGAATAGGTGGATTCTGGACTAGAACATCTTCAAGGTCGCTTCCAACCCTATTATTCTATGCTCCATGTTCTTTTTTGTAGCAGTCCCTTAGATATTGGAACACTGCTATCACGTCTCACCTAATCCTTCTTTCCATTAAACTAAACATACCCAATTCCAGCAACTGTTCTTTATATGTTTTAGCCTCCAGTCCTCTAATCCAGAGGTCCCCAACCTTTTGGGCACCAGGGACCAGTTCCGTGGGGAAAGGTTTTTCATGGACCGGAGAGTGTGTGGTTTTGTGTGCTGCCTGAAGCCCATGGATGGGGCTTTGCTGTTTCTGTGGACTGGTTGCTGGTATGCCATGGACCGGTACTGGTCCACGGACCGGGGGTTGGGGACCCCTGCCCTAATCATCCTTTTTGCTCTTCTCTGCACTCTTTCTAGAGTCTCCACATTTTTTTATATTGTGATGACCAAAACTGGATGCAATATTCCAAGTGTGGTCTTTATACGTAAATTGTTGCATTCATTATGTCAAATCTATCAAAACCTGCCTGGTCAAGCTGCTTTAGTGGTTCTCAACCTGTGGGTCGGGACCCCATTTGGGGTCGAATGACCATTTCACGGGGGTCACCAAACCATGCTGTCCGCCATTTTTTCCCCTTTTCCCTAGCTGTCCTACTCCCTCTTATTGGTGGCCACACCCACTTGGGGGTCACCACAACATGGGGAACTGTATTATGGGGTCACGGCATTAGAAAGGTTGAGAATCACTGATCTAGGCAGAAGCTACATCTGAAGTGAATCTGGGATCAGGCTCCACGGTTTGTGAAGTTGATGAATGCAAGCAAAGCAGGGGAAAATATATATATGTATGTGGATTATAGATCTAATTGTGTTTAAATTACTGATCTTCTTTAAACATGCTATTCTTTTTTCATAAATGTGCATAGGTTTCATTTACAAGTGAATGTTTTTTCTAAATATTTATATCTACATGTCTGTTTAGTCTTGTATTTGTTTGGTGCAAACTTGCATTAACCGAATTGAAAGGAAGAATATAGCCAGTCATTTTATGATTGCAGCTGTTGCCTCTTTACTTTAAAAATGGTTTTATTGATCTAGCTGCAGTATACCATATGAGCAATGTCTTTTTTTTAAAGAGGGACTTAAATAGCTTGATTTAAATTGTTCAGTTATTCATTTCTCCACATAAAATAACCAGAACCACATTTTCTATTTGTTAAGGTTTTAAAATGTCACTTTAGTGCCACTATTTTATTTTGTGATATCAAGGTGATCAGAAAGGTCAATCTCATTTGAAATTTTAAGGGACCATGGCATTTCAAATTAGGAACAACTCTTTTTATTAGCATGATTGTGCATTTGTGCTTTTTAATCTTAGTATAGCTTTTAAAAAATGTCTCCATGTATTCTAATTATTAACTATATTTCTTGTTTTGCAAGGTTAATATAATAAATTATTGGGAACAACTGTTACACAGTTTCCTAGTTAATATGCATTGAAGAAGAAAATTAAATGAAGAAACAAGATGAATATGCAGATTTTCATGGGGGGGGGGTTAGAAGACTGGAATACAATGTTCAAAAGAGTGAAATGAGTTCAGATCTGATTCAGTTTCACACTGCACAGACAACGATACATATAAATCCACAGAATATGAGAAAAGCATTTGCAAAGCAGGATCCACCTATAAAGGCAGCAACAAAGAGGTGAAACCAGAGCTTATAAAATGTAGGAAGATCATTTCCTTATAAACATACAGAACTTGAGCAGAACTTCCTAATTATGTAATTGTACATCTATAGAGATAATCCATGAAATGTTGATTGTGCTTTGGCCAATTTTATCTTCTTCCTTTACACCAGAGGACTCAAAGGGGAACCAGAAAACTTAAGCTTTTTGCCTCTTTCTACAACTTGGAAGATACTTTTTGTCTTTAAGGATTTGCACTTCAAGGAGTAGAGAGGTCCGGCAGTCTATATTTTATCTTCCCATTCTGTGGAATTAAATAATTTTTTAATTGAATGAGTCTATTCAATAGCTCTTATCCTCCAGCCAGCAATTCGACTCTTTGCCTTTGAAAATGAAGACTTACCATTATTTTGAAGGGTCTTTGGGGCGAGTGGAGGCTGAGGCGTTGAAGGGGATCAGGGGCCGGGGTCTGGGGATCCTCCCAGTCGTTCTGCCTCAATCATGAGGTGATCCCAAGGGGTCAACTGGGAGGTTTCCTATCAGAGAAACTGCTGAATTGAGGGGGGCTGCCCCCCAACAGTGGCCCTTCTCCTGTTGGGTTGGGGGCATTTATCCGACTTACCTAAATCAGGGACGCTTAAATGCATTTGGACGTGATGCCCCCCCCCCCCCAGAGCTTCGAGGAGGCTGGAAAGGGGCTCCTGAGGGAGACACTGTGGGTGGTGGAAGAGGGGCCCCCAAGGGAGTATAGGGAGGCCTGATTCGGAGTCAGACCGAGAGAAAGGCGGAGTCGGGCCCGGCCCTGAGGAGCCCCAAAGACCCCCGATGGCGGCACTTCCCTCAGAGCTGCATCTCTCTGTGTCTCTCCCCTCAAGAAAAAAGGCTCCTCCCACCCTTCTCGAGATTGCGTTTCCCGCTTCTCTCCGCCTGAGAGGGAATCGCGCTGGGAGGGGATTGGCCAGAAGAGAGAGAGAGAGAAGGGGAGGGGTCTCTTTCAACCTCCCGCCTCCCTTGTCCTGCAGCCTTTTCCCCAACGCCTCTCCTGGGAATAAGCTGCGCCAATGGGAATTCTCCCTTCTGTTGTGTCATCTGTCTCCGGGCAGAATCTCTCGTGATTTCTCCCTGACGGGCGGGGGAAAGCCTTTGAAGCAGAAGCTGAGAAACGGGGGAGGGGTGTGGTTGTGTATGTGTATCTCTTACCCACATTGTGTGCAACCGCAACTGGAGGGGACCATTCCGGGTTAAACTGGGGTGTCCCGAAGAGGACACAGAAGCAATGTCTAGGGGAGGCAGTGATTGCTGAGATGTGGAAATCCCAATCTTCTCTGGCTGATGACGTCCAAAATTGTAGCGCTCTCCTCCAGCCACAGCCCACTTGTTTTTCACAAGACTCGCCCCCCCCCCCGTGACACGTATCTCCAGTCTTCCAGCTGCATGATCGACTTTTGCTTTGCAGAGGACTCTCTGTATGCCACCCCTCCTTCAAACTGGTTCTGCTTCATGGTTAGCCCGTTTCTCTGAGCTACCTGTGAGAGTGAGAAGTTGGATAAGAATCAGACTGCTCTTTAGAAGGCCAGATCCTGAAGTTGAAACTCAAATTCTTTGGCCACCTAATGAGAAGGAAGGACTCACTGGAGAAGGGCCTAATGCTGGGAAAGATTGAGGGCAATAGAAGGGGACGACAGAGAATGAGATGGCTGGATGGAGTCACTGAAGCAGTAGGTGTGAACTTAAATGGACTCGACTTTGCAATTAACAACAACAAAGAATCAGATGAGGATGTTTTTAAGTCTATTTCTGTCTTTTAGAGTACTGGCTCTCCTTTCCACTTCCCCTTTTTTCTCACGATCCTTAATTACATAATTATTACGAATCGTATAAATACTGGAGCTGCATGATCGAGGACTGAGTCAGCATTCCCGTTTCTTGGGGAAATATTGATGAACAAGAATATGATTTTGAGCCATCTCACTGTCCATTGCACTCAGCTTGCAAAGCTGTCTCTCCTGGGATTTCTTTATGGATATGTAAAAAACAATCTGGATCAAATTTGTTGGTCCAGGCAGTCTTTTATGGGATGTTTGGAGGATGGAAACAGGGATTACTTCTCCTGGCTCCTTCATCTGCTCCGGAAGATGGAGGGTAAAACTAAAAGGATATGGTCCTGGGAAGTTTGCTCAAAATTTTATGAGGATGTGGCCTACAAAAGGGGGAAACATCAGCAGGTGTCAAGATCAAAATATCAGAAGCAGCACAAGGTGTCATGTTCTGCCAGATTTGGGGGAGAGCCTCAATACCACCCCTCTCTGACCTAGAAAATCAGTCCCCCGTTGCCCCAGAAAGGCTCTTAGCATGCTGAAATACTACTTATGTGTACACCTTAGGGTGGAAAACTGGGAGGATAAGGAAATCACCTTAGATGCCTGTGCATTAACAAATAACTGAATTACAGTACTTTGCTAATATCCTGTGAAAAACTACAAAAAGTCATGTATGACTCTGTTGGGGGTTCCTCCTTTTGCGCATCAAAGAATTTCTCGTGTCCAGTGGACTTAAATGGGCATTGTCTCTGGGAATGGATTACAAAGGACATAACCAAAATCACCTCCTGAATCTTTCTGCAGGTCAGAATCAGAATCAGAATAGAGCTGGAAGGGACCTTGGAGGTCTTCTAGTCCAGCCCCCTGCTCAAATAGGAGTCCCTATATCATCATTTTAGACAAGTGACTGTCTAGTCCAGTGGTTCTCAACCTGTGGGTCGGGACCCCATTTGGGGTCGAATGACCATTTCATGGGGGTCGCCAAACAACGCAGTCCACCATTTTTCCCCCTTTTCCTTAGCTGTGCTACTCCCTTTTATTCTATTGGCTTTTGAAAGCCAATAGAATAGACTCTCTTGAATAGAGTCTAATTCTATTGGCTTTCAAAAGCCAATAGGAATTGTCCAGGCTGTCTCTGCCCTGCTGAGCCTGCCAAAAGTTCCATTCTGCAAACGGTGCTGCACCAGTTGAGTAGTCCTCGACTTACGACCGGTTGAGGTCGTGACATTAAAAAGGTTGAGAACTACTGGTCTAGTCTCTTCTTAAAAATCTCCAGTGATGGAGTGTCCACAATTTCTGAAGGCAAGCTGTTCCACTAGTTAATTGTCCTCACTGTTAGGAAGTTTCTCCTTAATTCCAGGTTGCTTCTCTCTTTGGTCAGTTTCCATCCATTGTTTCTTGTGGTGCTTTGGAAAATAATTTGACTACCCTCTTCTTTGGGACAGCCCCTCAAATACTGGAATACTGCTATCATCAAGTCGTCATTTACACGGGGAGGACTGTCATATCCCCATGGCTTTTACCGGATGCTAAATGGCAGAGCGCGATTTCCACGGCAGACCCGGCTCCAACCAGAAGTTGGGGTGGATAGCGTCCAAGGTTCCTCCAAGGCCGTGATTTCACCGCAGCTCCCAGCACGACGCGCTCTCTTGGCAGCCGGCTGATTGTATGCCACTGCACATGCTCGACTCCGTCTGCGTGGTCTGGATAATGCAGGCTGTGAGTTCCACCCGGGAATTTGGGGGAGGGGGGCGGGCAAGAGGGGGTCCCGCGACTCAGGTCCTCCCCAGGGGAGGGAAAACAGACTCCGAATCCCGAAGCTTGGAGGAAGCTGGGAATCCACCCCATAACTGCTCCTGGCTGTGCATGCACGAGATCCAATAACGGGGGAGGAGGAGAAAGTTGAGGGGGGGGAGGGAGGGGAGAGGAAGCCTAAAGGGACCACCTGCTCACGTCTCCTTCAGGTTCAGCTTCCAAGATTGGAAAGATTTTTGGAGAGCCAGCGGAGACCAGTTGCCCGGTGGTGCCAGCGGCTGAGAGGTTCCTGGTGAGCGTGGCAGAGGAGAAGAAGCAGGAATAGAATGAAAGAGACCTTGGAGGTCTTCTAGTTCGACCCCCTGCTCCGGAAAAGCCCCAGGTCAAAGATGCTCCTCATAGGAAATAGGAAAGGACCTTCGTGTGCTTGAATTCTTAAATATCTCCCTGATGAGAGTTTTGGAGATTAATAATGGAAGTAGATAATTTAGAGCACCTCATTAGCGAAATTGTTCTGGCGTTCTTCCAAAGAGTATCTTACTTGGAGCAATTCTCCCATAGGCCTCCACCCATCCCCATCCATGGACACGAGGGTTTGGCCACCTTGTGGGAACAACATAAAATCCAGATCCTCTCATGTCCTGTTCCCTTAAGCCAGGGGGGTCAAACTCAATTTCATCGAGGGCCACATCAGCATTGCAATTGCCCTCAGGGGGGCCGGGTGGGTGCGGCCTACTGGGTGGGCGTGCATGGAGTGGGTGTGGCCTACTGGGTGGGTGTGGCCAGCTCTACATCATTCCGTCAAGGGTGCCTGTGGGGGTCTGGGCAGGAGTGGGACAGATCTGAGGGTCTCTGGCAGAAGGGGGTGGGACCAGGGCAAGAGCCAAGGCATGGCCCACTGGAGGAGCCTCACTGTTCCTCTCAGGCCATGCGGGGGGGGGGCTTATGGAGCTAAGACTGAATGTGTTTCATCATAGATGGCTACCACAAAATTGTACATTGGCTCCCAGCCGGCCTGGGCCAAGGCCAAGGCAGAGGGGCCGTTCCTTCACTGTTTCCAGGATGGCTTCACGGGCCACATGAAACCACTTCGCTGGCTGCATCCAGACCCCGGGCCTTGTGTTTGACATGTCTGTCTTAAGCCCTCTCCTTCGCTTCTATTTCAGGTTCTGAGGTCCTTCCAGGAATGGGGACTAATTGGGTGGATCATACAAGTCTTTCTCGCGATCCGTCTTTTAGAGGATAAAAATCAATGTCAGGGCACTTCACTAGGTAAGGGAAGACCGTTCCACTGGATTGGTGATTTTCTAGAAAGATTCTAGTTATCCTTAATTCTCTGTATCTTCTCGTGTCTTCGTCCTTGGATTTAGTAGAAAGTGACCCAATAAGAAAGAACAAAGGAATTCCCTCCCTTCAGATTAAGCCTATGGTTGGTCTTTTGCAGAAGATTGACTCTTCTAGCATTGTCACCTTGAGTTGCATTATGGGTCCTCCATCATGAGAGATTTCTCTTTGTTCTTGGTGTTGCGGAAGAGAGCAACCTGTTTTTGGCTTTCCTTAAGAGGTAATTTCGACTCAGTTCCTGCACAGATCCCTGATGGACCATTTCCAACACCACCCATCTTGCAGGCAGTTTCCTGGGTTGCTAGAATTTCATATATTGCTCTTTTACATGGAATATGATGGTTTCAAGCGGCAAGGAATTGGGGGAGAATTTGTAGGGATTGAGTGAATGCTTTGGTTGCCAAGAATATACCTCCATGAGTTGTTCCAAAAAGGAGAACAATCCAATTGAGGTTTGTTCTTCAATGTGTGCTGGGGCTTGATCTTCTCCTTTTGTTCCTGGCTCCCGTGATGGAGCCTATGAAAGGGCACTAAAGGCAGAGTGTAGAAGAGGAAAATGGAGGTTTCCTGGGCAGGACAAGAAGAAATATTAAGTTGTACCTTCAGGCTAAAAGAAGAAGTTGAACCCTTTCCTGTTTCCATCCTGTCTCTCTCCTTCCTAGTGGATGCAATGGAATCACCGTTGGTCCCTGAATCATCTCCTTCTATTGGTGGAGTTGAAAGAGTCACTAGATTCCCAACTCAGGTAGGAAGGAAGAGATCAGCAGTTAATATGGGGGAACAGTAGGAGACCTCTAGTTTTCTTTGGGGACTCAACATAAGATAGTGATACTCCTGAGCAAAGCACAAGTAAATTAAACATGTAAATTTATGATCAGTCAAAGTAGGCCCACCTCTCAACAAAGTTTTGGAAATGTATGGAATTCTTTAATGGTTATATCATTCTGGTTTCAAAAATGCCACGTAACAGTTCATGTTGTCTATCCTAAGTAAAGCAGACAGGACACACTTATTGTAAGTGTAATCCTGTTTTCTAATTGTTGGGGAAAGGGAGAAAAACAGGAGAGCAGAAACTGCTTTGTGTATCATCTGCATCTTGATGGCCAGAAGTGCCTTCCTAGTATTTTCATGAATGTTCATGAGTGGTGAGCAAGGCTGGTCCTTCAAAGAACCACAAAGACCTTTTGGTTACCATGTCAGACAGAAATCCCACAGAAGTTCTTGCAAACATCATGAAATGTTGGAATTATTGGTAGATGGTGCATCTAAGGCACACTCTGCCACTGGATTAAGGCAGACTGATGACACTGAAGATCAGCAGGGTCAGTCAAGGTGATCAAGCATGCTGTAATTGGCTTTCAGCCTTAGGCTGTGAATTCTGCCCATTTTATCATGTAATGTGTGGAGTCCAGCTAGGAAAATGTCCAATCAAGAATGTTAAACACTTTGTGTTTTTTGGATTTGCGGATGAAAGGAGATCTTGCAAATTCTATCGAGTCTACTCACAGGGATTCTTATTGGTTCAGGGTCCTGTGTCCTTTGAGGAGGTGGCCGTCTATTTCAACAGCGAGGAATGGTTGCTGCTGAATCCCAGCCAGAAAGCCCTGCATCGAGAAGTTATGTTGGAAATGTCTGGGATCATGGCCTCTTTAGGTAAAGGTTCCTCTGGGGCAGTGGTTCTCAACCTGTGGGTTGGGACCCCATTTGGGGTCGAACGACCATTTCACAGGGGTCGCCAAACAACGCAGTCCTCCATTTTTTCCCCCCTTTTCCTTAGCTGTGCTACTCCCTTTTATTCTATTGGCTTTTGAAAGCCAATAGAATATACTCTCTTGAATAGAGTCTAATTCTATTGGCTTTCCAAAGCCAATATGAATTGTCCAGGCTGTCTCTGCCCTGCTGAGCCCGCCAAAAGTCCCATTCTGCAAACGGTGCTGCACCAGTTGAGTAGTCCCCGACTTACGACCAGTTGAGTAGTCCTCGACTTGGGACGGCAAATTGTATGTTGTACATTTTTTTAATTTATTTTTCTTCCTCCTCAAGCCTTTGATGCTCAGAAGGAAAATCATCAAGAGCCAAATTTAGTGCCGTTGCAAATAATCAAGACTGAAATACCAGAAGAGAAACCTACAAATAAGTGGGGAAGGAGGAAACATGAAAAGAAGCACAATTGGAGAGAAAAATCTATTCTTGAATGTGTGGAAATGAATCACTTCCTGACCCAACATGACTCCAAAAAAAATATATGGAAATATCAAAAGAAAAAAACATTCAAAGCAAACCCCAATTTTAGTAACTACTCCAAAATTGGAAAGAGCTTCAGCAGTAATAAACTTACTCACCATATAATGACCCAGGCAACGGAGAAGCCGTACAGAGGTGTGGACTGGGGAAAAAGTGTTGGGTGGAGAGATAATCTAACTTCCCATAAAAGAATACAGTCAGGGGGAAAGCCCTATAAGTGCACGGTCTGTGGGAAAAGATTCAGTTCAAACAGTTCCTTTGCTTCTCATAAAAGGATCCATGCCAGAGAAAAATCCTATGAGTGCCTAGAATGTGCAAAGAGCTTCAGGAACGGGGAGTGTCTCAAATCCCATAAAAGGATCCATACAGTGGAAAAACCTTATAAATGTGTGGACTGTGGTAAAAAGTTCACTGTAAAGAGTTCCTTTACTTCCCATAGAAGGATGCATACTGGAGAAAAACCTTTTAAATGCATACAGTGTGGGAAGAGCTTCAGCACTAGTAGTTACCTGATATGCCATAGAAGGATCCATTCAGGGGAAAAACCCTATACATGTGTAAACTGTGGAAAAACCTTCAGAATGAACGCTTGTTTTCCTAAGCATAAATTGATCCATGTGGAAGAGAAACCATTTAAATGCATAGAGTGTGGCCTTGCTTCCCATAAAAAAGATCCATACGGGAGAGAAACCCTGTAAGTGCATTGAGTGTGGAGAGAGCTACAGAAATAGTAATCAACTGACCTCCCACAACAGGATCCATTCAGGTGAAAAACCTTATAAATGCACTGAGTGTGGAAAACCCTTCAGGACATGCAGTTCCCTTGTTTCCCATAAAAGGATCCATACAGGAGAGAAACCCTATAAATGCATGGAGTGTGGAAAGTGCTTCTGTGTAAAGAGTGCTCTTACTTCTCATAAACGGATTCACACAGGAGAAAAACCCTATAAATGCATAGACTATGGGAAGGGCTTTAGACAAAGCTGTGCCCTTGCTTCCCATATACGGGTTCACACAGGAGAAAAACCGTATAAATGCATGGAGTGTGGAAAGAGCTTCTCTATAAAGAGTTCTACTTCTCATGAAAGGATTCACACAGGAGAGAAACCCTATAAATGTCTAGAGTGTGGGAAGAGCTTCAGCCAAAGCAGTCAACTTAGTTTCCATAATAGGATCCACACAGGGGAAAAACCTTATAAATGCACAGACTGTGGAAAGACCTTCGCTGGCAGTGGTTATCTGACTTACCATAAAAGGACCCACACAGGAGAGAAACCCTATAAATGCCTGGAATGTGCAAAGAGCTTCTGTGATAACCGTGTCCTTATTTCTCGTAACAGGATCCACACGGGAGAGAAATTGTATGTATGCAATGAATGTGGGAAGAGTTTGAGTTCAAGCAGCTCCCTTACTTACCACATTAGTTCCCACACAAGGAAGAAATTGCATCTGTGCACAGAGTGTGGGAAGAGCTTCAGATTAAAAAGACACCTTACTTCCCATAAGAGGATCCACACAGCAGGGAAATAGATACGTATGGAATGTGGAAGGAGTTTTTGTGAAAACAGTATGCTTCTCAAGAAAGAATCCAGAGGGCAGAAAAATATTCTGTGGCATGCAATCAACTTATTTCCCAAATTAATATGACTCACATCAGGGAGACATACAAGTTGGGAGGGAGATCCCTTTAGGGACTGAAGTGTTCTTAATTTATGTAAAAGATCCATTGTGATATAAAATCGTCTAAAGCAAGGCTTTTCAACCAGTGGTACGGGTACCACCTGTGGTACATTGGCACCTTGCAGGTGGTACGTGACCATCCTAGAAAAGTGGTAGAGGGGGAGGGGAATGAGCTGAACTAGTGGCAGCACCGCACAAGCCTGACCGAGAAATGGCTGGAGCTGCAAGGCTGTCAGGGCTCAGTGGAAGCACCAGGATCAGCGTCCTGGCACCAGCTGTAGCTCAGCGCTGATCAGCTGGAATGTTGCAGTATCTCCAGGGTCTTGTGATTTACATTCAGATGCTTGGCAACTGATTCATATTTATGATGGTCACAGTGTCCCAGGGTCATGTGAAGTGACCAAAATCTGCTGCAGCCACCCAGCAGACGGGGGGAATAAAAACCAAACACCCCCCCACCCCACCCCCACTGCCAATCCTCAACAAAGATGCTCACAACAATGAAAATCTCAGACAGGAGGAAGAGCGCAGCCGGGCAGACAGACAGGTGTCTTACTCGGCTGTGGCTTAGGGGGGCACTTTTTTCAGTGCCATTGTAACTTCGAACAGTCACTAAGCGAACTGTTGTAAGTCGAGGACTACCTGTACTTCATCACTTTTTTCCTTTTTTTTTGATCATTTTTTGACACCTTACTAGGTGACTGGTGGTACTCCAATATTGTCATATCCTAAAAGTGGTATAATGAGTGAAAAGGTTGAAAAGCCCTGGTCTAAAGATATGGAGTGTAAAAAGAATAACATCTGTGGAAAAATGTGGTGAAAGTCTTTCTTCTTTCAGAAGATTGCCATAGGAGAAACTGAAGAAATGCATAGATTTTGGAAAGCTCCCAGGATAAAGTTCTTAATTCCAAAGATAAAATCTGTTAAACAATTGCCTCTGCTTTATTTAGGCACAAGTAGCATCTGGTGTGAGTCTGAGATCAGCCTCCGGGCTTTCTAAGAGCTGGTGTATGCAAGCAAAACAAGGAAAAATGTACCATGTGTATAATCATTTTAGCTCTAATTGTGTTTAAAATACTGGTTTTTAAACATGTAGCAAAGTATTTAAGCTATTTTTTTCATATACTGTATGTCCACAAGTTTGGTTTACAAGTAAAAATATCTCCCAGGCAGTCTGGTGCAAAATTACATTAACCGAGCTGAAAGGGACTTTATAAATAGTTTTATTTATCCAACTACCACATGAGCAATTTTTTTTAAAAAAAGGACTTAAATTGGTTTATTTAAATTATTCATTGTTCAGTTTCTAAGATTAAAGTAATCGGTACCATATTTTCTATTTCTCAAGATTTTCAAATGTCACTTTAGTGCCTCTATTTCATTTTGTGATATCAAGTTGATCAGAAAGGTCAATCATGCTTAACCTGTTAGGGGATCGTAGCATTGCTATGGTTTTGGAGAAAAGTTACTAGCATCATTGCAACTTTGTGCTTCTTAACTTAATATAGCTTTTTGAAAAATGTATGTCCTGATTATTAACAACCTTTCTCATTTTGAAAGGTTAATAAATGGTTGGAAACAGTTGTGCAATGTAAGTGATGCCATACTTAATACACATCGAACAAAAAAGCTAAATGAAGAAACCAGATGAATATGTAGGAGAATATAGGGGGGGGGAGAGGGTGAGTGGAATTAAATGTTAGAAAGTGGTAGAAGGAGGTGGAATGGGTTCGGATATGACTGTTTCACATTGCACAATGATACACAGAAAACCATGGAATGAGAAAAGCATTAGCAAGGTAATCTTTGAAAGAAGCAAGCAATGAGAGAAATTGTAGCCTATAAAATGTGGGAACATTCCTCATTATAAAATCTTGGCATTTTTTTTAGAATTTTTCTAATTGTGTAATTTCACATCTATGAAGATGATCCATGCAGCATTGATCGTGCTTTGGCCAACTTTACATCAAAGGACTCAAAGAGGAATCAGAGAACTGATAACTTTTTTGCTGCTTTCTACAGTCTGAACATACATTTGGTCTTTGAGTGGTAGGCAAGGATTTGTACTTCAAAGAGTGGGGGGTCTGGGTAGTAAATGAGAAAATATTTCTCTTCCCAGTTAATACAATTAAATAATATATTAATTGAATACATTAATTCATGAATACATTAATTTCTGATTCAAGAACCAGCAGTTTTACCCTTACCCTTTGACTTTAAGAAATACCATCATTATTTTGAAGATATCCCAACCTAAAAGGAACAGGACCACAATTGCGGGAGAGTGGAGGCTGAGGCCTTGAAGGGGATCAGGTCCCAGGATCTGGGGATCCTCCCAGTTATTTCACCTCAGCCATGGGGTGACCCCGAGGGATCTACTGAGGGTTTCCTATCAGAGAAGCTGTTGAATTGAGGGGGCTGCCTCCCAAGTGTGGCCCTGTTCCTTTTAGGTTGGGGGCTCTTATTCGGTCTGACTGAATCGGAGACATTTGAATGCATTTGGGTGTGATGGGCCCCCAAGAGCCTCAAAAGGGCTGGAAAGGGACTATTGAGGTGGGCACTGTGGGGGTGAAGGGGGCCCCTGAGAGAGAAGAGGGGCCCAGAAGGCCTAATTTGTAATCTGAGAAAGGAGTCAAATCTACCTCTGATGAGCTGCAAAGATGCCCTCCCACCCCTCAGAACCCCTTTTCCCACTTCACCACTTAGCAAATCAGAATGGGAGAAGTGTGCTCAGGAGGGAAAAGGAAAGGGAGGAATCACAAGCTCCTGCATCCATTGTCCTTGAGCCTTTTCTCCATCTCCTGAGGGTCGCAGCCCCCTTCAATGGTGCCCCCTATCCCCCTTCTTACCTGGGAGCAGGGCTCTTTCCCTCCTCACTTCCAAGATTGGGACAGCGCCACCACCAGCAGGAACAGGGAACCCCAGCAGAACTCATGAAATGTTCCATACAAGCCCCCTCTCAAGAGGGGGGGAGAAGTGGAATTGGGAGGGGGGCATTTTGGAATTGGGTTGCTAGGAATAAGCAGGAGCACCAATTGCAATCCTCTCTTATGCCATGTCATCTGTCTCTAGGTTAAGTCTGCAGGCCCAACTTGAAGGGACTGTTCCATGTTAAACTGGGGTGTCCTGAAGGGGACACAAGTGGGTCCTGAGTGAAGCAATGCCTAGGGGACACAATGATTGCTGAGATGTGCAAATCCCATTCTTCTAGCTGAAGATACCCAAAGTTGTAGAAGTCTCTTCCAACCACGTCTCATTTTTCACAAGACCCCCTGACACATAACCCCATCCTTCCAACTGCATGATCGACTCTTGCTTTTCAGAGGACTACCTGTACGCCTCCCCTTCAAACTTCTTTCACTTCATGGGTAACCGGTTTCCCTGACCTACTTGTGAGAGTGGAAAGTTGAAGTTGGATAAGAATCAGATGAGGATGTTTTTAAAATCTATTTGTCTTCTAGTGTATTGGTTGCCTTTTTCCCCTCCACATTTTTCTCACGTTCCTTGATTACATAATTATTACAAATCATATAAACACTGAAGCTTGATGATTCAAGACTATATTCCCATTTCTTGGGGAAATATTGATGAACAAGAATATGATTTTGAGCCATTTCATTGTCCATTGCATTCACCTAGGTTGCAAGTCAAAATTTCTTGTAATTCATTTACAGATAGATAAAAAATAATCTGGATCAAATTTATCACTCCAAGCAGGTTTATGGAATGCTTGGACAATGGCAATAGGGATTGGTCCTTCTGGCTTCTTCTATCTGCTCTGGAAGGAATGTCTATTTTACCTCCTGGGAAATCTTTACCTTTTTCCTATATTTTTCTTTCTAAGGTTAGGGAGAGGATCTCCCATGGAAGGCAAGGCTAAACACTTGTCTACTTGGAGCTCTCTCCCCCCTCCACCTGCATTGCTTTTCCAAAAGGCAACTGGACCTTGTTTTTTTTCCTTGAAAACATATTGTTTCTCATCCAAGGAGCTTCTTTAGAACACTACCTGAATTTTTCTACACTCTGGCCAGTATTAGCTTTGATGATGTCCAGCCACCATGTTATTCTGTGGCCTATAAGAACACAGCACCGATTATTGCAGCCAAATTCTTGCTGTTTCTCTTCCAGCAGAGAATAAACAAAAGCTGCTTCTCTTACTGTGTGAATAGAGATCAAAACATTTTTGTTTAATTTTGAACTTAAAAAAATATTTCTTTAAAGAGGTGTTCCGCTGCGATCAGGACTCTTGGTGGCTTACCTAGAATATAATACATTTCAAAGTTTCTTGTGAAGATAGACTTTCTAAACTAGCAATTGTCTACTTGGTCTAGTGGCTAGACAGCAAGAGACCCTGAGTTCAAATCCTGCATTGACCATGAAAGCCAGCTTAGGCCAGTCACTCTCTCTCTCTCTCTCTCTCTCTCTCTCTCAATGCAGCCTACCTCACAAGGTTGTTGTTATGGGGTAAAATAGGAGGAAGTGTGTTGGAGATGTTTGCCTTGTTCACTTTAAGTTTGCCTTGAATTGTTTGTAATAAAGGCAAGATGTATTGAAAAAAACTGTCTTGCAAGATAAATACTTAGCCCTGTACAATGTACTTACGCCCGTTCAATCATGTAGTACTTATATTATGATATACTGTAACATTATTAATATTTGATAGTATAGTATACTACTAAATATGCATTTTTGTATTCTGAGTGTGTCAGTCAGTCTTTTACTTTGGGCCAATGCAGCCCCTCT